GGTGACACCATGACAGGAGCATTAGCTAAGTCAAACAATAAAATTACTGGATTGGCAGCACCAACTAGTAACAATGATGCAGCTACTAAAGATTATGCTGATACCAATGTGTCTAAGACTGGTGAATCTATGACAGGAAATTTGGATATGACTTCAAGCTACATAAGAAACTTACAATCACCCTCAACTTATTCTGATGCAGTAAATAAAATGTATGTTCTCACAAATAGTGTTTTCAAAAGGGGGGGACACCATGACTGGCGCCTTTAACATGGGAGGCCACTGGATCACCAACTTATCCAAAGCAACATCACCAAATAATGCAGTAACACTTACTCAATTAGGAGAATCACATATCTCTAAGCATGAAACCGTAAGGACGTATTCAAATATATCGTCGAAAATGCTAATGAGAGCGAAGAAGATTACACTTTATCCATTAGAAATATTGTAACTACTAGTAACTTGCCGCATAAGATACACTTGAAGGCATACCTTATTATTTATGCCAGTTTTATGCCCTCACCTAGCTCTGCTTGGCTCAGAGCATAGATTTTGCACAGATTCAGGAAGCTTTATCAATTTCTAATGCAACATTATTATAAAATGATAAAAAAAAACAAATAGAAAATCCAATGAATCTACAGGTTTAGAAAAGTACAGAATTAACTCTAGGGAACATTCTTCTGTCAGTTGCAGAAATAATATTGTACCAGTTGCATCTCATAATCCTGCTCTTTGTGTAGTTAATAAGTTAACATGAGATTATACTAGTTAATCATGTTACAACAATCTTCACTAATTCCAAAACAGTACTGTGCTATTATTGTCAAGCCATCTGGGCCAAATTACCGTCTGTGCTATTTACCTTGTATTTATTTTCCTTACTAGAATAAGTGATGAGTTATTATGTTAATTGCTCTTGCACAAAAGGCAAACTTGGTATATAGTGTAGACTTACGGCCATTGGTAGGTCGGGAAATTGTCCTGGTGATGGCAGGTTGGCTGATTTCATTACTAGTGGAAGATGGCAAAGGCAATGATTGTGAGCTGGTTGAAGTGGATGAGCGTGTGGATGTGAATGACTGGCTATGCAAAATAGAAGGAATGGGGCTTGATAGGACAGTTACACTGGATGTGGAGGATGAAAGCCTTGATGATGACG